AGAAATAGGCCAAGGAAATGGCCAAAATATGGCCAAAACTGGCCAATCTAGTTGTCTACCAGTCGATTCAAGAAGGGCTCTTTTGCTGCATACCCAGCTAGCAATTGGTTCCATGTCAGCATATGAGAACCAAGTGATGATTGATGACTTAATGGCTTTGTTTGAGAAAGCCAACATCAAGCCCAGTCAATCAAGAAAGATTGGAGAGGAAGCACAAGGGAAAAGAGCACAACCTAAGCCCCAAATGGCCCCTCAACCACATGAAAAAGTAAGTGAATCCGTATCATTTTATAGACCTCCCACACTCCAAGAAAGATATGAAGAGGGAATGAACATAAATTCAACGTTTGAGAGGGAACAACCCACATATCATACAAACCCAGTGTTTAATTACAATGTAAATAATATGGGAATGAGACCTGGGGGGCAACTAAGGCCACAAATGTATGATAATCTTGCATTTGAAGGGCCTGGTTATCAGGCTATGGCAGAACAGAGAAATAGGCCATTTAATCAAGTAAGGCCTTAAGATGCAAAGGATTTTACCATGCCTTAACCATATTTTGAACCCTACATGATGCATCCAAGGCCTAAAGGGCCTGGTCCTCTTAATCCTTACTTCCAACCGAAGGTTGAAGGAGAAGGGCAGCAATAGCAATACTTAAAACCTCAAGTCAACAGACAACAAATAATGAACATCATACAGGAAATGTATGGTCCAGGCTTGAGAAAGACAGATATACCAATGTTTAGGAGTCCTTACCCTCCATGGATGGAAACAATTCCCATTCCAAGGAATTACAGAATTCCTGAGTTTACTTTATTCACAGGGGAGGAAAGACAATCAACCATAGAACATGTGGGCAAATTCATACTCCAGTGTGGAGAACCTGGTTATGATGATAATTTAAAATTAAAGCTCTTTCCTCATTCTTTGTCGAAAGTGGCATTTACTTGGTTTATTAACTTGCCAGAGAACTCTATTCACACTTGGCAAGACATGGAAAATCGGTTTCATGCTTAGTTCTTTAGAACTGAACTTGAAGTGACAATGGTGGACTTGTCAAAATTTAAACAAAGACAAGGAGAAAGTGCAGAATAGTACATTGGCAGGTTTAAAAAAGTAAAAAACCGCTGTTATGTATACATGCCTAAAATAAAAATAATAAGATTAGCCTAAAATGGTTTAGATTTTGAGCTTAGGAAAAAAATTAAAGGCATGATGTTTAGGGATTTATTTGAGATGTCTTCAAGGGCAACTAGTTATGAGGCCATTCTCAGAGAAGAACAACATAGAGTGCAGAATAGTACATTGACAGGTTTAAAAAAGCAAAAAAACGCTGTTATGTATACATGCCTAAAATAAAAATAATAAGATTAGCCTAAAATGGTTTAGATTTTGAGCTTAGGAAAAAAATTAAAGGCATGATGTTTAGGGATTTATTTGAGATGTCTTCAAGGGCAACTAGTTATGAGGCCATTCTCAGAGAAGAACAACATAGAAATGCAGCTTCATTAGGCACTTATTATCAAGAAGTCGAATTTGACATGGAAGTTGACATAGATGTTACCCAAGTAATATGTAAAAAACCTGTGCCTTGTGAGACATTAGGAAAGACAGACCAACCTATAAGCATGCCAGAAACACAACCAGCCAAAACGAATGTGGCTATATCACATAGACAATATTCTTTTAATTTGTCTAAAGCAGATGCATTATTTTATGAGTTATTAACAAATAAGTTTTTAACTTTAACTCCAGGCCACAACATTCCTAAAGAAAGGGACAGAGTTGGCAAGGAATATTGCAAATGGCATAATTCTTTCAGACATTCTACTAATAATTGTGTTATATTTCGCAATTGTGTGCAGGATTTAATTCAAAAGGGGATGTTGAAATATGCCGAAAAACATAAAGGGGTAATGGCCGTTAACAGTGATCCATTTCCTAGTATGGTGGAAATCAATATGGTGGCTACTGATTAGAAGAAAAAAGGAAAAAATCCTAGAGTTCTGTTGGTGGAGTTGGAAAAACTTCACAAGGAAAGGCTGGAGAAAATGGCAAAAGAAGCAAAAGGAAAAAGAGTTCAAAAGGAACCAAGTGAGAGTTTCATCTGTTTTAGATGTGGTTCTGAGAAAGAAAAAACTAAGGCTATTGTGATTAATAGGATTCAACAAATTGGAAAAGATGTTAGCCTGAGGTTTAATATTATGGGGAGTGGAGATTAACAAATTTTTGATAACGATTGTTTGTTCTATAAAGGAATAGATCTTGGAATTTTTGGACCTACAGAGAACTATGGTAAAGATGATGGTCCATTCTTATTCCAAGGAGCACCTGTTCATCCATGCTTAGTTGGGGCTAGTAATGTAAGGGCTATGCTCAATCAACATAAGGGTTCTAAGTCTTATGGAAACCCAAAGGTTCTGACTAGGCCATATAATGGCCATCGGCAGCAATTTGGTGCATCACATAGTGGCCATCAATAATTTGGAAGGCTATATGGAGGGCATCAACAATTCGCAAGACCATCTGGAGGATATCAGCAGTAGCATCATGGCCCAAGAGTGAGGCCAAAAATGCAACTAGTTCAGCCAAGAATGGTGAAACCTCCAATACTATCCCATTTGGGATGGCAAGGAGTGTCACATCCAAATTTTCCCATGAGTGGTTGGAGACCAATGGAAGAAACAAGAACTCAGAAAAGGAGAGAACAAATAAGGCTTCATGCTATGATGTCCACTGCTGCAGGGGATAAACCATCTGGAAGACAAGACTTAGTGTGGACTAGGGAAGGATTGGTTCCTGCTGCTAAAGGAAAAGAAGTGAAAGGTTCAACTTCTAAGACCCATCCAGTGCAACCAGTTCAGATTTTGAAAAGGAAAATGGGACTAGAAGAAACTGAAGATAGACCTGTGGGTAAACTTTCAGAGAAAGCTTTGTCAAGGTAAAAGCTAAAACAGTTAGAAAAAGATCTGATGTCTGATGAAGAAGATAACAATAACAAAAAAGATGTCGTAATGAAAGATGATCAAGATCAGGAGATGGTCATTGATAACAAGAATGTTAATGAAAGTGTTGAAGAAGATGAAGTGAAATCAGACAGTTCTGGTGGAGACTTTAGAGAAAAGTTGGCTGCCATTTATTTTGGTTCTTTGCCCCCTTCCAAGGAGTGCAATATGATTATGGCCATCCCGCAGAGGTTTCAGGCCAAACCAAACCAGCCAGATAACTTGGCAAGTGATGTTGAAGATTTGACAGAACCAGTTATTTAGATAGCAATAGTTGAGACACAGGCCAAGCCATTGAGACCAATCGAGATCATTAAGTCTGTTGATGGAGAGAAATTTATACTTCAAAAACCAGAAGATAAGCTTATTAAGCATCTAAGGCCTCTGTATGTTAAAGCTTTTTTGGATAGGGTACCAGTGGAAAAGGTGTTGGTAGACAATGGGGCTATTGTCAACATTCTCCCATCTAGGACACTGAAAGCCATTGGTAAGTCTGTCGATAACTTACTTCCTACTGAGGTAAATATAAGTAATTTTTCTGATGAATCATCTGAGGCTAGAGGGGTAGTAGCTTTACAGCTTCAAGTTGGTTTCAGGTTAATGGGAACAACTTTATTTGTAATAAACTCCACTTCTAATTACAATGTGCTCCTAGGTAAGGATTGGATTCACCTTAATGGGTATGTACCTTCGTCTCTACACCAAGCATTAATTTTTCTAACTAGTGGTGATCAGAATAAAAAAGGACTGGAAATCTTCTGGGCTGAGGCAAATCTTTTTGTTGCTGATGTCAACAACATAGAGGCTGTGATGTATGATGAGGATTTGGGCCCAGTTGTGATTGATAAAGAAGAAATCAAATCAAAAGGGAAAGGCTTAACAACTGAAGGGTTCAAAGCCTTCATTGAGGAAGGTTTCAAGCAGATAGGCCAGGAATTGGCCAAACCAAGCCTGATGCAGAAGCAAAAGAGGCTTGTGATAGAGGAAATTGCTGAAGATTGGGGTGATGCAAGTGCAAGTAACAGAAGAAAACAAGTTGGATAAGACAGCTGATGTAATTAGATCTACTTTTTCTAGGCTTTTTTTATTTCTTTTTAGAAACTAAGTTTAGCCCTAAGTGTTTACCTAATTGTTCTTGGGCAGAATGTGTAATCGACAGTAGCCTTTTGAGTTATAAAGAGGTGTAACTGGAACATCTGAAAGTAGCTCCTGCCAAACTTGATGATCTCAAGGCAGATATGCAAGACCCTTTAGAGGAATATAACTTAGGAAGTAAGGCCTATAAGAGGCCCATCTATATAAATGCTAATCTATCTAATGAATGTAAGAGCAAACTAGTTAGTTTGCTTTCTGAGTATGTGGATTGCTTTGCATGGACTTATGAAGAAATGCCTGGATTAGATAGAACATTGGTGGAGCATAGACTCACAATTAAAGGAAATTTTATTCCTCATAAACAACCCCCAAGAAGGATGACTAATGAAGTCACCTTATTGGTTAAGGAAGAAATCGAAAGGTTGCTCAATGCAGGTTTTATTAGAACAGCCAGGTATGTTGAATGGATGTCTAATATTGTCTCTATAATGAAGAAAAATGGTAAGTTAAGAGTGTGTATAGATTTTAAAAATTTGAATCTAGCAACTTCTAAAGATGAATATCCTATGCTAGTGGCTGATCTGTTAGTTGATTCAGCAGCCAAGAGCAAGGTTTTGTCCTTTATGGATGGGCATGTTTGGTATAATCAGATCTTTATTAACCCAGAGGATACACATAAGACAACATTTAGATGTCCTGGTGCCTTAGGGACATTTGAATGGGTAGTCATGCCTTTAGGATTAAAAAATGCAGAAGCAACTTATCAAAGGGCAATGAATTTCATTTTCTATGATTTGATTGGAAAATATTTAGAAGTTTATATAGATGATGTAGCCATCAAATCTGACAGTTTTGATGAGTATCTAGAACATTTGCAGTAGACATTTCAAAGAATGAGGACATACAAACTCAAAATGAACCCTTTGAAGTATGCATTTGGGGTATCTGCTGGAAATTTTTTAGACTTTTTAGTACATCACAAAGGAATAGAAGTGGATGCTAATAAAGCCAAAGCCATTTTGGGGGCAAGACCTCCAGCCAACAAGAAAGAGTTGCAAAGTTTTCTTGGAAAAGTAAATTTTTTGAGGAGATTCATAGCTAATTTGGCTAAGAAAACTTTAGCATTCTCTCATTTAGTGAAAATTAAGTCAGACCATGAGTTTAAATGGGAAGTGTGCCATCAAGAAGCTTTTGACTTGCTCAAAAAATACTTGACAAACCCTCCAGTGCTTATGCCACCAATGGCAGGAAAGCCTTTGAAATTGTATATATCAGCTTCTGACCTATCAATTGGTTGTTTATTGGCTCAAGAAAATGATATGGGTCGTGAACAAGCCATTTACTACGTAAGTAGAAAGTTAAATGATGAAACTAGATATAATTCTGTTGAGAAATTGTATTTGGCACTTTATTTTGCAGCCATTAAATTGAGGCATTATTTGCTGCCAACAGAAGTATTTATGATAGCACAAACAGATGTTATTAAATATATGTTGTCTAAACCAATTTTAAGGGGGAGACAAGGTAAATGGATATTAGCATTAATTGAGTATTGTCTCAAATATATGCCACAAAAAGCACTCAAGGGACAAGCTTTGGCTGACTTCTTGGTGGAACACCCTAGCACTTCTGTCGATTTAGACCTATATGAGGTCAATTTGGTGGAAAGTGAACCATGGAAATTGATGTTTGATGGTTCAAAAACAGATGAAGGAGTTGGAGCAGGTATTGTGTTGATTGTACCAAATAAGCAAATGTATCAATTTGCATATCAGTTGAAAGCACAACATGTACAGTCTTGTAATCAAGCAGAATATGAAGCCTTGATAATTGGCCTAGAATTGGCCATAGAATTCAGGATTAGAAGCCTCCAGGTTTTTGGACATTCCCAGTTAGTTATTAAACAAGTTTTGGGAGAGTTCAAATGTGTCAGTGGTGCTCTGGAAGAGTATTTAACTGAGGTTAAATGGTTAACTAGTTTCTTTGACCATATCACATTCACACATAGGTTTAGACTGGAGAATAATGAGGCTAATGAGATAGCTCAAGCAGCTTCTGAACTAAAAATACATAAAGGAGCTCAGAAAAGGGTGATTCGAATTCAGAAAAGAAACTTTTCTGCACTTAAAAATAGGTGTAAGAATTTCCTACCGATTCTCACTTTGGATGTGACAGAAGAAGATTGGAGATTCCCTTTAATAAAGTATCTATCGAATCCCAGTGAAAAAAGCAGTAGGCAGGTGAGGTTTCAAGCCCTAAACTATGTTATCATGGGAGATGATTTGTTTAGGAAGGCTCATGATGGTTTGACTCTGCTTTGTATTGGTAAATTAGACCAAATGAAAGCTATGGTTGAAGCACATGAAGGAATTTGTGGGGCCCATCAAGCTAGTGATAAAATGAGATGGCTGATTAACAGGTATAGTTATTTTTGGCCATCCATTAGAAAAGATTGCATAATGTATGCAAAAAGATGTTAGAGTTGCCAGAAGCATGGCAATATTCAAAGGGTACCAGCTACTAGCCTGCATTCAGTGGTTAAACCTTGGCCTTTTAGAGGATGGGCAATGGATTTAATTGGGCAAATTTTCCTAGCATCTTCTAAAACACATTCTTACTTATTGGTAGCCACTGACTACTGATTATTTTACTAAACGGATAAAGGCAATACCTTTAAAAGTGGTGACACAGGTCCAAGTTATTGAATTCTTGAAAAAGAATTTGATACATAGGTTTGGTTTACCCCAACCTATCATGTCAATCAAGGTACAGTGTTCAATGGGGATGAGATTAAAGAGTTTGCCAAAGAATACGGCATTCAGATATTAAACTCTTCACCATATTATGCCCAGGCAAATGGACAAGCTGAGGCAACAAACAAGATTGTCAAAAATACTTTAGAGAAAATGACTGAAGACAATCCTAGAGATTGGCATAATCTCTTGTCAGAAGTACTTTGGGCTTATAGAAATTCCAAAAGGAATAGTACAGGTACAACTCCACATGAGTTGGTTTATGGACATGATGTTGTATTACTGTAGACACCCCATTTTTGACCGACCTTGAGACTCAGACGTCACCAGTTGAGCACTCGGTGATATTGCATATTGTGCTTGCTCAGAAGTTTCAGAGTCTCGGCTGCGAGCCTTGCCTCCGGACTTTCGGGCTCTTTTGCGCTTTGCCTCGGTTTGCGAACCAGGCTCTGTTTTTTCTATTTTCTCTTACCAAAGGGAGGGAGAGGTCTCGTAGATCATCTCTCGGTGGCCGTAGGCTACGCTTCGTGGTCGTAGGCCATTTTGCCCGTTTGGAGCCCGGTTTCCGATTTTTCGGAGCCGTTAGCCGTGTGCCTCGGTTCAGGACCGCCTAACCACCTTCGTTTGCCCCGGTTTTTGGCATACATCTTATTTTCTCCCCTTTGAGGGACACTATGGTCCGAGAGACCAACTTCGTGGTCGAACACCACTTCCGGTGCCTAACAGCCCACTTTTGGGGCCCCGAACTGCGTGTTTTGGCTCCCGAACTTTCATTCTACATTTTTGGGCTCTGACCTGAACTTGAGATAGTCATATTTTGAGGTCCTTTTCATGTTTGATTAAGGACCTTTTACTGTTTGAGATCTCCTCCTATCACTTGCTTCTTTAACACTCTTTTAGGCCTATTTTTGCACGGTATTTTAGGCTTACTTGTGAGCTGTTTCGGACTTGGTCATAAACTACAAAGTGTCTTTTTTTGAGCCCCTCTTCAACTTTGTTGAAGGGATCTCAGCCATTTGGGTCCAGCAGATACCACTTGCCTTTATATCCCACTTTTTAGCCTTTTTGGGAGGGAAACTTGAATTTTTCCCCCCCCTTTTTTCCCCCTCTTTTCCAACTCTTTTGCTTATAAAACCAGCAGCTCCCAGCTGTGTTGGAGGGTTAGAAAATTTTGGTTTTGAGCTCTCTCATTAAATTTCTCTCTCTCTCTACTCTAAACCTCAAAACCCCTTAAGTTCTTAACCATTTTTACACACCATCACCTAGCACCACACCACCATTTCCATTTCCAGCAGCTTGGAGGTCTTCTCAGAGGCTAGGAGCCAGCAAATTTGGTCCAAGAAGTTGCTAAAGATTGGTCTACAAGGGTGAGTTACCATTTCCCTCTTTCTAGCTCATTTTTTGCAACATTTCTTAGCCTCTCTTTCTTGTATATCTGAGCTCCGGCCATAACTGAAAGTAGTGTTTTTTTTATCTCTATTTCATATTTCATTAAGGGACTTTTATCATTTGAGGTCCCCATCTTGCACTTGCTTCATTATCCCTCTTGTATGCCTATTTCTTGCGTAGTATTTTAGGCTTATGTACAATCTGTTTTGAGGCATGTCATAAACTGAAGAGTTGCTTATTTTGAGCCCTTCTTCAACATTGTTGAAGGGCTCATTGCTGTTTGTGGCCTCCATTTACTACTTGCCATTACATCTCTCTTTTGGCCATTTTTTTGCATGATTTGTTAGCCTCGGATGCTTCTGTTTTCGGTCTCTTTTTAGAACTGAAAACAGTCTTATTTTGACCCTTTCTTCATGTTTCATTAAGGGTCTTTCATGGTTTGAGGCATCTTTTATATACTTTGTGTCATATCCCTATTTTTGGCCTTATTTTGCATAGCATTTTGAGCATTCTTGCATACTGTTTTGGGTCCGGCCATCAACTGTAAAGTTCATTATTTTTGGCCCCTCTTCAACATTGTTGAAGGGCCCCTTTGTGTTTAAGGCCAGCAACCACTACTTGCTTCTTTGTCCATCTTTTGGCCCTTTTCTTGCATGAGAGCTTAGCCATACCTGTGTTGGTTTTTGTGGTTTTTCATAAACTGTAAAACATCATATTTTGGGCCCCTATTCAACATTGTTGAAGGGCCCTAATCTGTTTGGGGTCAGCAGCTGTGAGTTGCTTCTTTATCTCACATTTAGGGCTATTTTTGCATGCTAGTTTTGCCCTATTTTTGTTTGCTGTTTGGTCTCGCTTAGAACTGTAAACATGCTTGTTTTGGGGTTTCCTTGAATCTGTCTTCACATGTCATGATCAAATAATGCATGCTTTGTATAGCTGTAAGCCATTTCATGTACCTAGTTTTGCATTTCGGGAGAAATTCCATGCATCGGGTGTCATTTCGCCTTGTTTCGGGGCTGTTTTGCCCCTCATTTTAGTACTGAAATTTTGCATGCTTGTATGCCATATTCCATGCCTTGCCATGTCTTGTTAGAGTGGCATTTTGTGCCTTAGGGTCGGTCCTCGGTTTGCGTGCATGTGTGCACGCATTCCGAATTGTCTCATCTTCATCTGATGGCCTCTTATGTGAGTGTGGCTGAGGTCCACTCATGTTGGTGTAAGTCCATTATGCATTGTGTATGCCATTTTATTTCATAGCATTGCGTATGCTAGGTTGTATGTTAGCGCATTGTGTATGCCATGTTACCTCGTGCATCGTGTATGCCATTTCATAGCATTGCGTATGCTAGGTCAAACACCACTTCCGGTGCCTAACAACCCACTTTCGGGGCCCCGAACTGCGTGTTTTGGCTCCCGAACCTTCATTCTCCATTTTTGGGCTCCGACCCGAACTTAAGATAGTCATATTTTGAGGTCCTTTTCATGTTTGATTAAGGACCTTTTGCTGTTTGAGATCTCCTCCTATCACTTGCTTCTTTACCCCTCTTTTAGGCCTTTTCTTGCATGATAGTTTAGGCCTACTTGTATTTATTTTCGTGGCTTGTCATAAACTACAAAGTGTCTTA